CCGCTGATTACAGAACCGGCTTTCTGACAAGATGCGCGTTAAATATCGCATGCGATTAATCGTGCAGCCCTAGTCAAGAGTCATGGAAAATGCTTTAGAAAAGCACAATTGGCACAAGATCACATGCCGGCTCTCAAACATCACTCTGAAGACATGTAAAAAATAAATTTCCCCCAGTAGGATTAACACTGGCTGACGTCTTCTGCCTTCAGTGGAGTTGCGCATTTCATACCAAGAATGCTTTATTCACTTTTTTATTGATATTACCATTGGCGCATGGAGTGCAGACAAGCCTCTGTACCGTTCCAAGGAAAAACACTTGACGTGATTAAAAAAACAGAGACAGAGCACGGTATTCCAGAGCTCTGGTAGCCTAGGATTGCAACCGCACTTCAACAGCTGGTGCATGACCACAGTCAGAGACAGAAACCAGTCCCAGGAGTCGAGACTGGAATCACAGAAAACCAATCACCAGATTCTTTGATTATACCTTGTGCACACAAACACATAAATCAAAGCAACTTAAACCCCGGGGAAAAGGTGAAGGACGCAAGGACGCAAGACTGTTGACCTTTATGTGAGAAGGTCGATTTGATGAATGACTTTGTAAGGTCAGTGTACTGATTGGGTATCTGTGGTCACTCAAGAAGGACAGAGAAGGATGCATGCATGTGTGCATCTCTAGGGTTTAAATTAACACTGGGTTTCATCTGAAAATTAAAGGTCACGGGTCATGATTTAACATTTAAACGCAGCGTGTGAGACCCACTATTTGCATCACTCCTACAGACAGTAAGAGCTCAAATTTGCAGTCATATTAGTGAAATTTCTGTAGAATTTAATGTGCAAAAAGGTCCATTGTCTATCACTTTTAAACTATGCAGCAACTATGCAACTTGAACATGAGGGAAATTTTAATTAAGAACTTTTTCGTTCTCACTCCCAATCACATGGATTCCTATTGGAATGACTGGATTTTGCCCACAAAATTTCGTCTAGTCATGGTAAATATAACAGCACCAAGAGTCACAGAGTAGATCAGCACTTGCTGAATCTGTATTTAAATATCTGACCAGTTGAAAATCAATGAATTACATATGATTGGCAAGTCGGAGGTCAAATTGTTGACGATGAGATATTGGAACAATTATGGCATTAACACTGATGTGCCCAACTGGGTCCTTGAAATGATCTGTAAAGCCTGATTAGGTTCCACCTGGGAGTCTATAAATTAATTTTAATGGAATCAGAAGCAACTGGAGATGTTTACACAAATTATCACTCTTCTTCTGCATTGGCTACTACACTAAACCCATCATTTCATGGGTCATTTCGCTGCAGTAAAGCCGCAAAAGATGCCCAGGGTTATGCCCGGTAAAGCATGCTGAAAAGGTTTTAATTAAGCATTTAAATAAGCATTAATGTGATGATGAGAAGGACAGAGACAGCAGGCCTGTCACACAGTCAAATATGGGATTGACTGGAGCTGGATTTCACAGAGATTAAATCTCAGTAAATGTTTTGATCAGTGTTTCCCAACCATGATCCATTAGTGCACATTTAGGATATCTCCACATCTGTTTCAGGCCCTGAAGTCTACTAAATTAGCTAATGAGTTCAATTAGGTGCGTTTGATTAAGAAAAAAAGGCCTATACAAATTTGCAGTGTTTGGGTCACTTTGGGGCAAGTTGTCACACATTTTACATGTTGTTAACTATACATGTTTGTACAGTAGGATACCAATTACATTTTTGTTATTTGAGGCTAATTAAAATAACCCAAACTGCTAAATATTTACTTGAGTGAAAAGTGTGACAACTAGCCCCGGGTTCCCCTACTTGCATCTCCTCAATGAAGACAAAAGACAAACAATAATAGCAACCTGATATGTGACATTATAAACGTTTCTTAAATATATTGTAAGTGGCATAAACAAACTAAATAAATGGAAAAACTAATTAAACTAACCAACACTGTTTAAATACGTTTTAAACGGCCACAAAGCGTTTCTCATCTATAGGTATTTTTTTTAATTACTGAAACTATTTTGGAAATAAATTTAGTAAATTTAGTAACTAAAAGCTGCTTTCCCCGAGTTAAATGTGCTATTTAAACAAACTACAATACAAAGAGCGTGTGCTACATAAACATACAGGGTACATTACCCGAGGTTGTGTGAGTAACAGCACATAAAACTGAACAAACCTGTCCCGATGCTGTCATTATTGCGCTTAACTGTTGAGGTGAAGTGCTGGGGAAGGACTGTACCTGTCATCATAGCAGAAATCAGCGCTCAGTGTGTTCATATAGAGGAGCAGAGCCACCGCGCTGCACACCAGCTCCACTATCATCTCAACGACAAAGAGGAGAACAGAAAGTCCAGGAATGAATGACACTGATCAGTCCCCGTGTCTGTTTGCTGTTGACCTCATTGCTTTGCTCCTGATGGGAAGAGTTTCAAACACAACCATCGCTCGTCTAACCCATTCTCAGTCCGAGGCTGAGGATTCAGCCCGCATATCTGCTCGCACTGTAGGATTTCTCTAATAATCGGAGACTATTCGCCTGCTCTTCATCCAGAAAGCCGTAGTGCAACATCCCGTTGCAGTAACACCCTCCCATCAAGCACACAACACGCGTGTAATATTTGGGAACGCCGCGCATGCGCAGAAATCAATTCACCAGAGAAGCATCAGCGCCGCTGAGCTGAGAGCGTCTTGTCCTATCAAATTGATTTAAACTGCATTTGCGCTGGTTTGCAGCATTTACATTAGTTTTGAACAACTTGGAATTAAATAAATAAATAAACAAGCATTTATACATAGGCTACATTAAGTTCCATCCTGTGATTGGTATGTAAATATTACTTTTGAAAGCTCGTTTTCGCCTGAATAAATAAATAAATAGGCTAAAGGTAATTGCGAGTTTATATTTCACAATTCGAACTTTGTTTCCCCAATTCTGAGGGTAAAAAAGTCAGTATTGCGAAATTTAAAATCTGAATTATAGGCTATTTCACACGATTCGGACTTTTTTCTCAGAATTCACATTCCGTTTATTTATTTATTTATTTTGCCATGTAATAAAAATAATCTAGAAATTTCGACTTTGTCACAATTCAGACTTTTCTTCTCAGAATTGCCAGTTTATATCTCAGAATTGCAAAAAGTATTTTGTTGTTTGTTGGTTGGTTTTTGTTTGTTTTATTTCGTGGCGGAAACAGGCTTCCATACTTCCATACACCATTCAGCCAATCAAATTTGAGAACTAGAATTGTTATGTAATAATATATATATATACACATTTCCCCCCTAATAATAATCTGCTTTGAAGGAAGTGTAGATGATGAATTAGATGTTTGCACCCTGTGGTGAGTTTTATTTATTAATTTTTTCAGAAAGCATCCTGTGATGCTTTTTGCATGTGGATCTCTGAAAATCCCCACTGAGGAGCAGATGGGGCAAAACCTGCTAAGTGCATGTGTGAATCTGCATGAGTCAAACACAGGAACAAGAGCGAGAGCAGATCATTTGTACCCCAGTGTAGTCACTCCACTCCTGTTCCACCCCGCTGACCTCAAGCTGTTGACCCTTGACCATCAACCCCACTGGGAGGACAACTACTGTTTTCAGGGATCAACACAAGCTCTGACCTCATCAGTACTGCATTCTGCTGCGGATACAAACAGTCAGATGGAATAGATGTCAATCTGAAAAGTATACAATTAAAAAAAAGCAATGGGACGATTCTACGTGAAGTGGCAGTGATTTCACAAAATTATAATCACAATAGATTAGGCTACTAGATGTTCGCTAAATTGGTTCATAACTGGTTGCAAGTGTGTTCTAGGGTAAACAGGAAATTTTTAAAATGCATACAACAGTTAAATAAATAATATAATAAAAATCATAAAAATAAAAATTACAAGATATTCTTAGTAATATTAATACATTTTAATGTAAAATTTGTAGCTTTTTTTATTCACCTTATGTACAAAAAACAAGTGAGGAGGACTGTAATACGTGTGTCATTTTCTTTTTCAGAGCTCCTGTTGTATAAAGAATTATATATATATATATATATATACAGTGGGTACGGAAAGTATTCAGACCCCCTTAAATTTTTCACTCTTTGTTATATTGCAGCCATTTGCTAAAATCATTTAA